GCCGGTGTCTAACATTATTTGTTTTATTTTGCATATATAATTATTATGCATGCGATTGATCAAGTTCATGTGCTCTGTAAATTTAATTTTCTAAATCACTTTCATTGACTGTTAAAGTGTCAATAAAAAACATAGAAAAGTAATGAGAAAGCACTATTTGGATTTAAAAAATAATCTCCAAATATGATTAATGATATCTTTTTTTTCGATAGTTCTAGTTGGGCGTATTTTCTTTTCGATAATGCAGGGAAAAGGGCTTGTGTTTTTATTCTCCACGAAAGTCAAGTTATTATCGTTAGAAATACTTTTAAATAACGATAAGATTTCAACATGCAGTAGAAGGGGGAGTTATGTTGTGTGTTATCGTATAACTTTTGAGATAATTTTTAATACAATGTGATGATTATAAACATAACCTTGAGATTACAAATATTTGCAAATTATAATAGTATATTTTTGTTTATAATAATGAAGTCTAAATAGAAGTGAATTATGAATTTTGTTATTAAATTTAAAACAAATCTCAAATTTCGGTGACATCTAATATGGAGGAAAAATACTAATTCTTCTAATACTAATTGGAGGAAAAATACTATTGCTAATGTTTTTTGGTTCGCACCTAATTCTTGTCAATTGTATATTTAAGACGTGGAAATATCCGCCCGAGAAATATACTTTTTATTTGTTTTTGGAAACGATCATGGCCTTGTAGCTAGGTTCCCATTCATGAAGAATAAAGAAATTGAATTGAAAAAAATATCGACAATTTAGGCAACATTCCGTCCAAAGTTTTTTAGTTTATAGATTCGTAAATCGGGACTTTTTTTGTATATATATTTTTCGATCTATATTTAAAAAACCAAATCTAAATCCATATATTATTATTATTATTCCACTTTCAGATTCACAGTTAAGGTTGGTGACTATGTCAAGGCCGATCAAAACGTCATGGAAATCGAAACTGACAAAACCACTGTCGGTGTACCAGCTCCATTCGGCGGTATTGTCCGCAAAATTCTTGTAGCCGATGGTGATACCGTTAAGGCTGGTCAACCATTGTTCGAATTGGAAAAGGCTGATGCCGGTGCTGCTCCCGCTGCCCCAGCTGCTGAGGCACCCAAACCAGCTGCTGCTGCTCCCCCACCACCACCACCACCAACTCCTGCTGCCGCAGCACCAAAACCAGCAGCTGCTGCCCCACCACCACCACCACGTCCCACACCTCCACCACCAGTTAGACCAGCACCAGCTGCTCAAATCCCTGTGGCTACAATTCGCCCAACACCAGCTGCTGTGCCACCACAAATTAAAGTACCCCCAGCAGATTATTCGCGACAAATCACTGGTACGCGTACCGAACAACGTGTTAAAATGAATCGTATGCGTCAAAAGATTGCTGCCCGTTTGAAGGAGGCTCAAAATGTTAACGCCATGTTGACAACCTTCAATGAAATCGATATGAGGTTAGTTTGAAATGAGAAGAAATGTTCATTTTTTATTTATATTTATTTCACATTTTCAGTGGTGCCATGGAATTCCGTAAGGCCCATTTGGAAGCTTTCCAAAAGAAATATGGCATCAAGATTGGTTTCATGTCCATTTTCACTAAAGCTGCTGCCTATGCTTTGCAAGATCAACCTGTTGTCAATGCGGTTATTGATGAAACCGTAAGTATCAGATATTTGATATTTTGTATTTTTGTTTAAGGATTTTAGTCAGAGTTCTAAGTAGTAATGGATTCAAACCAAATCTTATTGTTATTATTAATAGACTTTAGGGTAGAGAGTGCAAAATTTAGGGTACCAGGAAATACCCGTCCCGTCAAAAAAAGAGTAATGCAAACTGGCAATTGTATTTTAAGAAAAAGGAAGAGGCTTCTAAAAAACTTTCTGTAGATTGGTCTTTTGTTATTCAGCTTCGACAAAGTTACAACAAATATGTGTCAAATTTTACAACGCCTTAATATTCATATTCTGTCGAATTTCGGTTAGGTTAGGTTAGGTTAGGGATGTACGGTTGTTGTAAACAACCGACCACTCGGAAACTATGTTCATTGTCAATAATGGCGAATTTAATTTAGACTGGCATTAAGATTTTCTTCCATTGAAGAGTTGAGATAACACTTTCACATTTGACTTCTTAAAACGTTTTTGCACAAATATGTTTTGTTGCAATTGAATAACTTTTCAACATCGTGCGATTATTATTTATGATTTTCGGTGTGGGTCATCGAGATAAGAGTCATCAGGTCATAAAGTACTGTTAAAATTAAATACAAATCACGTTTTCCCGGCAATACAGTTTGAAACGAAATGGAACCTTCTCGGAGGTTTTCTTACGGGTTCTCCTTATAATCGACATAGACTATCCCTTGTCTTCTTTCGCAGTGGTGCATTCTAATTATTCAGGGAGTCGAGTCTTTCAATAAAAAAGTCCCTCACAATACGATTTGGCTAATTCCGTGAAAACTTCTGAATAAATTTGAGATTCCTCTTAGTCTAAAGGAATTGTTTTTCGGTTATTGAATTCTTATCCCTCTCGATGTCCCCGTTGCAGAAGTTATCTGCTCTCCGGTAAATTGTCTTGTCGGAGTCTTCCTTATCATTATCACATTTGGTTGTTGTTGTAACAGGTTGGCTGTTGATGAAAGTTCTTTCCTGAAAATGTTGATAGAGAAAAAAACGGAAGAAGGAAAAGGAAAATAAATTAATTAATTCTTAGGAAATAGGATTTGAAGAGGGTAGCCGGAGAAATTGTGCAGCCTCTATTGGCTTTAGCCTAAGTCTATAGGCAATAGACTTGAAGGCTCGGACGGACAATTGAATAGATGCATGTCGTTTGGTGGTTGCTTACGATGATGAGGCCATTTAGCATAGGAATTATCAAATTACAATTGCCGCAATGAATTTGGGGGTTTCATCTCCGCTGAGATTTAGAGAAGGTTGAATGGCCGTTCTGTTGAACACAGGGGTATCCAAAGCATCTTGCATGCCCATTAAAGGTGAATCATCCCCGAAATGAGTCGTTATAGATTTGAGGTCGGCCATGGAATAGCCACTTATCATGATAAGGATTTGGCAAGTACGCCTGAATATCTTATCGATGAGGCCAGACATCTGCAAGGCTCCGTTCGAATACAGTTGGTACCCTGACTCCAAAGTTAGAGTGTTGGTGAGGTCTCTTTAGAAAGTAGGTGGTCTAAGACCTTGGAATTGGTTATTTAGGGGCTCCACTCTCGCCTCGTCGATATTGGTATAATATGCACTCTTTCCTCCGATACTCTTTCCCAAACCCCGCTGACGGTCCGCAACTACTTACTTAGATTCGCAACTACCCAATGAATGTTATTGGATTTTCCACTATCACCAATTTTTATATATTATCCAGAACAGAATCTGATTCAGATTGAGCCTACTTTCATCTATGATTCTTTGAATTGTTGACCAAGGTCGTTGGTTACAAACTGTATATGACTTCAAGACACGAATCTTATCCACAAATGGTCTATATGGCTATAGAGATCCTGATACGGACTTGCAAAATGAGAATATAAATAGCATTATAGATCAATCTGAATGGGAAGCAAATAGAGCCAAGATCGGTTCGATAACCATATATCCATATTTTGTAGTTTCTTAGTATAGTGCATAATACAAAAATTCTAAAATTTATTCATGAAATTTTGAAGTTTTGAAATTAAATTTTTGATTTGGGCGCAGAAATCAATGTTTGTCAAGATACTTTAAAAATAATTTCAGCATATGATTTCTGTTTAAATATAAATTCTAGTTCTCAAATGATTCGAATATAATAACTTATTTCTTTTCTCTTTGTTTATGGAAATTTTGATGATGTTGCTTGGGGAAAAGAAGGTGTGAATTTCAATGACCTTGAATATATATTTTTATATATAATGAATTTATAGCCAATGAAATAACAGTCTCAAAGTTTTCTCTAACTTATCACATGAATTTTCATTGGTATCCAAAGGCCAACAGGCTTATCAGCAGACTTTCAAAAGTTTTCTATTTTGTTTATAAAACAAAAATTTTATCTTTTGATAACATTATCATATTTTTTTTGGAAATTTATCGTAATCACAAGCCGCCGCCTGCCTGGCTTCTTTTCCATAATGCAGAAAAAACGTCTTAAAACAAAATTCCCTATGTACGTAACAAAAATTTTTGGAAATCATTTCACGAACAAAATGAAGTGGCATTTTTTTACCAATCTCTATTTTCTTGTTGTTCTGTTCTTTACGCAATTTCTTATCACTTTTCGTTGTGGTGGTTTTCTGGTGATTGGTCTGCTGACGTGTGACGTCATTGATGATTTTAGTTTTTTCGTTTTAACTCGGAGTATTTTTTCCATTCCTTCATATATAATCTGTCGACGATCATGTGTTTACTTGACACAACTATTTTTATTTGTTTAGATATGCTGCGCTCTCAACGGCAATTAGCAACTGTGTGTTCGTGTTCTTGGCTATGTCCGGAGAATAAGAGATTTTGTTATTTCACAAAATATAAGTAAATATTTGTAGTTCGTCATAATTTTAATTTTGGGGGTTTGTAATTCATTCACAGATTTTCTCTTTTTGGGGGCAAATTCTTGGTAGCGCTATGAAGCAGAAGCGTTAATGATTTCGCATTATGACGTTCTCAAAGTTAAACAAAAAGTTTTCAACCAAATGTGTATCGGAAGATCAGCTTTCGATGAGGAATGATCATGATCTCCTAATATAAGCTCCTGCAAGAAAAACTTCTACTCAGAAAATAGGTGTTCTTAGAGATTAAAAAATTCTACGCAGACGAGATGAGCTAAATGGAGTCTTTATAGACGAGCTGATGGTAGTCGTTAAAGACGAACTGAAGGGAGTCTTATGGGCGAGGTGAAGTAGTGAGTATTTATAGACGAGCTGAAGGAAGTCTTTACGAGTTAAAGGGAGTGTTTATAGAAGAGCTGAAGGGAGTCTTTATAGAGGAGCTGAAGGGAGTCTTTATAGATCAGCTGAAGGCAGTCTTTATAGACGAGCTGAAGGCAGTATTTATAGACGAGCTGAAGGGAGCTTATATGGATGAATCTTATTTAAATCCGTTATTTGTTGAAACATTTAATATCAATGTTCTCATTCTCTACCTTCATTCATCCTCCTACTTTTTCTAATACCAATTACAATTTTTATACCCTTCACCACACTGTGGTACAGGGTATTATGTCTTTGTGCATATGTTTGTAACAGGCAAAAATAATCGAGATAGACCCATGGTTCCTTTTGAGAATATGCATAGAATCACATTCTAAGTCGATTTATGCATGTCCGTCCGTCCGTCTGTCTGTCTGTCTGTCCATGTTAAATTGTAAACAAAGTACAGGTCGCATTTATGATCCGAATTGGATGAAATTTGGCATAGGTCTCTTAATCGGCCCAAGGACGAACCCTATTGAAATTGGGAAAAATCGGTTCAGATTTAGATATAGCTCCCATATATATATTTAACCGATTTAATGTAAACGGTCCCTATATATCTTTCGATTTGCACGAAATTTGGTACAGGCTAATCATTTAGGCCTATAATGATGTCTGCCAAGTTTCGTGAAAATCGGTCCAGATTTAGATATAGCTCCCATATATAGTTTCGTCCGATTTCAGGTAAATGGTGCCCCAAAGTCCCTATATATCTTTTGATTTGCACGAAATTTGGCATAACGTACTGAATTAAGCCTAGAGTGATGTCTGCCAAGTTTCGAGAAAATCGGTCCAGATTTAGATATAGCTCCCATATATAGTTTCGTCCGATATCATGTAAATGGTGCCCCAAAGTCCCTATATATCTTTTGATTTGCACGAAATTTGGCATAACGTACTGAATTAAGCCTAGAGTGATTTCTGCCAAGTTTAGAGAAAATCGGTCCAGATTTAGATATAGCTCCCATATATAGTTTCGTCCGATTTCATGTAAATGGTGCCCCAAAGTCCCTATATATCATTCGATTTCCACGAAATTTGGCATAACGTACTGAATTGAGCCTAGAATGATGTCTGCCAAGTTTCATGAAAATCGGTCCTGATTTAGATATATCTCCAATATATAGTTGCGTCTGATTTCATGTAAATGGTGCCCCAAAGTCCCCATATATCTTCCGATTTGCACGAAATTTGGTACAGCCTTATCATTTAGGTCTAGAATGATGTCTGCAAAGTTTCGTGAAAATCGGTCCAGATTTAGATATAGCTCCCATATATAGTTTCGTCCGATTTCATGTAAATGGTGCCCCAAAGTCCCTATATATCTTTCGATTTGCACGAAATTTGGCATAACGTATTGAATTGAGTCTAGAATGATGTCTGCCAAGTTTCATGAAAATCGGTCCTGATTTAGATATATCTCCCATATAGTTTCGTCCGATTTCATGTAAATGGTGCCCCAAAGTCCCTATATATCTTTCGATTTGCACGAAATTTGGAACAGCCTATTCATTTAGGTCTAGAATGATGTATGTAAAGTTTCGTGGAAATCGGCCAGATTTAGATATAGCTCCCATATATAGTTTCGTCCGATTTCATGTAAATGGTACCCCAAAGTCCCTATATATCTTTCGATTTGCACGAAATTTGGCATAACGTACTTAAGTGAGCCTAGAAGGATGTCTGCCAAGTTTTATGAAAATCAGTCCAGATTTCTATATAGCTCCCACTTATAGTTTCGTCCGATTTCATGTAAATGGTGCCCCAAAGTCCCTATATATCTTTAGATTTGCACGAAATTTGGTACAGCCTAATCATTTAGGTCTAGAATGATGTATGTAAAGTTTCGTGAAAATCGGTCCAGATTTAGATATAGCTCCCATATATAGTTTCGTCCGATTTCATGTAAATGGTACCCCAAAGTCCCTATATATCTTTCGATTTGCACGAAATTTGGCATAACGTACTGAATTGAGCCTAGATTGATGTCTGCGTTGTTTCGTGAAAATCGGTCCTGATTTAGATATATCTCCAATATATAGTTGCGTCTGATTTCATGTAAATGGTGCCCCAAAGTCCCCATATATCTTCCGATTTGCACGAAATTTGGTACAGCCTTATCATTTAGGTCTAGAATGATGTCTGCAAAGTTTCGTGAAAATCGGTCCAGATTTAGATATAGCTCCCATATATAGTTTCGTCCGATTTCATGTAAATGGTGCCCCAAAGTCCCTATATATCTTTCGATTTGCACGAAATTTGGCATAACGTATTGAATTGAGTCTAGAATGATGTCTGCCAAGTTTCATGAAAATCGGTCCTGATTTAGATATATCTCCCATATAGTTTCGTCCGATTTCATGTAAATGGTGCCCCAAAGTCCCTATATATCTTTCGATTTGCACGAAATTTGGAACAGCCTATTCATTTAGGTCTAGAATGATGTATGTAAAGTTTCGTGGAAATCGGCCAGATTTAGATATAGCTCCCATATATAGTTTCGTCCGATTTCATGTAAATGGTACCCCAAAGTCCCTATATATCTTTCGATTTGCACGAAATTTGGCATAACGTACTTAAGTGAGCCTAGAAGGATGTCTGCCAAGTTTTATGAAAATCAGTCCAGATTTCTATATAGCTCCCACTTATAGTTTCGTCCGATTTCATGTAAATGGTGCCCCAAAGTCCCTATATATCTTTAGATTTGCACGAAATTTGGTACAGCCTAATCATTTAGGTCTAGAATGATGTATGTAAAGTTTCGTGAAAATCGGTCCAGATTTAGATATAGCTCCCATATATAGTTTCGTCCGATTTCATGTAAATGGTACCCCAAAGTCCCTATATATCTTTCGATTTGCACGAAATTTGGCATAACGTACTGAATTGAGCCTAGATTGATGTCTGCGTTGTTTCGTGAAAATCGGTCCACATTTAGGTATAGCTCCCTTTTATTATAGATTGATTTTAAGTACTTGACGCACCAAGGAACCAATAGAAACAAAACGTTCTGAAATTAGTATAACGTATCCTATTTATATTTGTTTGAAGTCGATTTACATACTTTATGGATAGATCTACGTAGATTCACATTTAGATAAATATCACATATTTTATTTCATTCAAGTTCATGCTAATAGTCCTGTTTAATATACCCATAGTGGTGAAGGGTATCATATAGTCGGCCCCGTCCGACTTTACAACTTTCCTTACTGGTTTATTTTAATTTCTTTCAGGAAATCGTCTATCGCGATTATGTTGACATCTCTGTAGCTGTTGCCACACCCAAGGGTTTGGTTGTGCCAGTTATTCGCAATGTCGAAAGCATGAACTATGCCGATATTGAAATTGCCATGGCTGCTTTGGGTGATAAGGCACGCAAGGGTGCTATTGCTGTTGAGGATATGGATGGTGGTACCTTTACCATCAGTAACGGTGGTGTGTTCGGTTCCCTTATGGGTACACCTATTATTAATCCACCACAAAGTGCTATTTTGGGCATGCATGGTATCTTTGAAAGACCCGTTGCCGTCAAGGGACAGGTAAATAACAACTCACACACACACATATTTATTTAAGCCAATAATTTCTGAAAAAACAAATGTTTTATTTTCTTTCGTTCAAGGTTGTCATTCGCCCCATGATGTATGTTGCCCTTACATACGATCACCGATTGATTGATGGTCGTGAGGCTGTTATGTTCTTGCGTAAAATTAAGGCTGCCGTTGAAGATCCTAGAATTATTTTAGCTGGCTTGTAAAAAAATAACACGATCCCCCAAACTCTATCTCTTCTTTATCTCTTAGACCACAAGTAAATACCTAATGGGAATAAAAACACACATTCAAAACCAAACAAACTAATAAGGCATACAGCTTAATGTTGCAATACTATTTAGTATCCTTTAATTTCACATCAACATAAAAAAACCTCAAATTTCATAAAATCTATACAAATTTTTATTATTTTTAATAGATAAAGGAATAAACGTACGTACATACATAAATATTGTTACTACAAGCCTTCTAAATACGACTCTATTCTATACACGTCCTTCCTTTATTTTCACAATAATTCAATTTTTATGTTTGTGTAATGATTTATTTTATTTATTAAAAAACAAACAACAAAGAAATGTCTTTGACACACTGACAAAAGAAAAATGCAATTTGTGTTTTATTTTTAATTTGCTCAAAAAACACGATGAGGTTGAAATAGATTTCAATAGTTGTGTGTAGAATAAATCCTTTGGAGATGGACAATGATGTATAGTAAAACAGAGGAACTTTAAATACTCGGGAACACTTCCTATACGTTAAAGATCGTGTTTAAGGTTTATTTTCCTGGGTATACGTTCCACAAGACGCTGACACGCTTCACAAAAATCTTGCTTAAATTATTTTATGCCAGTAGTTGCACTTCTAGTTCAGAAAACTCCACGCATGGGAGGAAATCTGGGGGCTGATGTTGAGAGTCGATACCGTTCGGAATTATGAACGTACGATCGAAATTTCGTACTTTTGGTATTCTTCCAGGCGATATCGCTTATAGTGTATCGGAATTTCGTATGCTATGAGGCGATAACGCTTAACTGTCACACGCAAGCTTTTCTCGTCTAATTCTAAGAATACGTCAATGAATACAATATTTTATAAAAAATATAGCATACTTTTAGGCTCTTAGCAGTTTGTTCATTCACAATAAAACATTTCACGATGCCGATAGAAATGTCCGGTACTTACATGTGATTGTGTATATCTCAACACCGGTCCACTTTTATAGTCGGAATACCAATTGGTCAGAATTCGAAGGAGTTTATATAGACGAACTGAAGGGAGTCTTTCATAGACGAGCTGTAGGGAGTCTTTCATAGACGAGCTGAAGGGAGTTTTTGTAGGATAGATGAATGCAGTCTGTTTAGGTTCGATACATTGTTTACGACAATGTATATGTTCGATATGTTGTTCACCCCTTCCGTAGCATACCAATTATTATTCACATTAATTGGCCACTCATTTGAGTCAATGGGGAAATCTTCTCTGCGCTCTCTTCTAGGAGTCACATTCGCCTGGTTCGGATTGTAGGAGAGAGTATCCGCTCTTTCCTACGCTCTCTCCTAGAAGTCACATTCGCTCAGTTCGGATGCAGAGAGGACTTTCCAGTGCTACTGTCGTCGATGTGATCTCGACCTTGTTTACGCTACATTTGCTCACCGCGACTCACTTGCATTCTAACCTTCGTTGTTTTAACTTGCTTTCGAACTCTCGTAGAGTAAACACTTGCGTTATCGTTCTCGTAGAATAAACATCTCTCGCTATCGTAGTTAACGCACGCTAAGGTAAAGTCTTGTTTCTCACGAAACCCACCTACTTTACAATAAAGATTGAAAATATTTACTTAAACATTCTATCGTTTTTCTTTTCTTTATTTTTGGGGTTTCACTGCATCTCGGTATCACGCCAACATTTTGATCCGTTCGAGCCGGATAAAAGCTAAGCATTTTCGTTGTCGGATCGTCTACCAATAAATTGTGACGTTGTTGCTAATATCGACCTTTTTCCTATTTGCTAAGGAGAAATACATCATCACCCCTTACAAAACACAACACCTCATCATCACCAAATCATCAAAAACATCATCCACAAACAACATCATATATTAAAAGGTACGTAGTTCAGTTTCTTTTATATTGAGCATACCGCGAGTGTTGTCGTTTTTTACTTTCAAGTTACAAAAACAAAAATTCAATATTCAATTTTGTTAAATTTGTTCGCTACGTCACGCACTGGTCGCCCTACAATTACCTTAACGCGCTCATTCCTAAATATACAGTCCACTTTTTGTCGCATATTCTCGCCATAATTTGTTTGCCAGTAATCAGTTGTGTAGTGCTTATTTGCGATTTCTCACTAAAGGCTACTTATACACTCCGCATTCTCGTTGACGTCGACAGCCACTAGTGAGAAAAAGCACTAACAACAATACGAATACTCATCTTGCCCTTTTTCTATTTTTCCTTATTTTTCTCAAAGCTACCAACTACCTGTTTATTAACATTCGATCTACCAACAAATTATTTCTCTTCACCACTATTACTGTTCAATCGTTCGATCCCCAACACTCACTGTTGGTTCGTATGAAAAATAGTGGAATTTTATAAATAATTTTTTAAAAATAATTTATAAAAAATTGTTGTTATATTCTCAAAAAGTTGTGTTGTTGATCGTGTGATATCAACAATTTTCAAAATCGACAATTGTTGTCCCCTTTTTGGAAATACTTACAATTTGTTGATTTTTTGTCGTTCCAATCGACTCTTGTTTGTTTGCTACTTTTTTATTGCCTGGTTTGGATCTATCTATTCTATTATGTTTATTTTTGGTAGTTTTGTGCATTAACACCCTACAACTGACAAACTATTTTCGATAGTTACTTGTTCAAATAAAGCAATTCTTAGCAATTTCTTTCAATCTTTTTGTTGTTTTCTTTTGAAGTTTCTAATCGCATATATTCAATTGCATATTAATTCGATGCTCGATATTTTCCATAAATTGGACAATTCTAAATTTCCTAATCGGCAGATTGACAACATAAATCCATCACGGAATATTGTGTTCAATTTGATTTCAGCTTTCGCACTCTGGTAGGACTTAACTTTCTGTTTCAACCTTTCCGAAAATATAAAGATAATTGTAGAATTCGTCGGCACATTTTGGTCTATTTTCTAAAACTTCTTTAGTTCACTTTTCGTTATTTTACGACACTTGGATTCAATTTGGTCGTGTCCTAAACTTCTGTGCCCATATACATTTTTCGGAATTGATTCGTTTCCCTCTTTCGCCCCCTTACTTCCTCTTAATTCGTTGCAATCATGTCCATCAGTCCGCTTACGCGTTTCATTATAGCCGCCTACGTTCATAAGATACGACGCGTTTTTTGATCAGATCAAACCCGAGAACTCAATTTGTTTAGTCTTGACCTACATAGATCTGAAATTTGCCAACTATGGACTAACTTCAAAAACTTGCATGATAATTGCATTGACCACCTGTCGACATCGCCGAGTTCTCCACTCGTAGATAAGGATGTAGTTCAAGCA